GGTACGGATCTCCGGCGGGCTTCAAGTACGGCGGCGGATCGGACCCGATTGGGTCGGGTGCCCCGGGATGCTGCTACTCGGAGCAGTGCACCGTTTGTCACAAGGTGATAGTTAAAACCCGAATTATTATTATTATTATTAGCGATTAATAAATTTAGGGTTTTTCGTTTTGATATTTGTCGTTTTTTTTTTTCAGAAGAAAAAGTTCAACGGTGGGAATTATGGGTTTTTGGGGGTGAACAGTGACGAAGCTCATGAGGGGTTGAATATTGGGACGAAAATGGCCCTGGGGACTGGCTTTGCAAATTCTGGCAAGCAGCAGGTAAATAAATAAATATTCATTTACAAGTCCATTTTAATGGAGTTAACAATTTTTATTTTCATTACAAATAGGACACTGTTCTATTGAATTCTAGACATAATTTGATTTTCTGTGTATTCTTTGTAATAATGTGTGTGTGTGTGTTCTTATTATGAAGCAGTACTGGTAAATTTCTGGATTTGAGCAATAATCCTAAAAAAAAAAATGCAATTTATGTGCTTATAATGTCACAAAAATCCACAAAATTTTTACAATTCTTAGCCAAAATAAAAACTCTTCAAGATGTTGACTTATTGAAATTTTTTTATGTTTACTAAAAAGCATCCATAAAATTTCTTGACTTCATCATCTCCTGTTATTCTTGACTTAATTTATATTTTTTATTTTTTATTTCTATTTATGATTGATTTTTTATTATTATTATTATTATTATTTTTTTTTGGTTAATGTTTTTGTTGTAGGGTCATGTGGAGATAGTGGCTGTTCACAGGAAAGGATGTTCAATGAGTTCACCAGTGATGATGGAGTATGAGTTTTTCCCATCAAAATCTGATCACTCATCACAAAATGCTGAGCTGCCAATGAAGATGAAATATCCCTCATCAGGACAAACTCCTTCAGATTATGTTGATCTCTCTCTCAAGCTATCTTATTGAATTCTGGCTTCTCTAATTTTCTGTTGGTTTTTTTAATATTTTTATGATTTTTTTTTTCTTTTTTCTTTGGTGCCTGTAGAAAAACTTTCTTGTGTAATGCTTGTTGTCAACAGCACTAAAACACTGCCTTTTGCTTACCCTTTTTGGCTCTCTCTCTCTCTCTAGATCTCTAAATCTCTCTCTTTTTGAAATTGGCTTGTCTAGTTGTTGTGTTGTGATCTTGGTGATGGATTTTCATCTGGATTTTCTTGTTACACTTGGGAAAGGGTGAATTTCTGGTAGATATACATATGGGTCCTATATATATATATGTGTAAGCATTGGTGGGGCAATTTGGTCATTAGGTTTGTGTGAAGGGCTTATGAAATATTGGTTATTTGATGAAAGATGAGTGGATATGTGTTTTTTTAATTTGTTTTCTTAAGTTTCTTAATCTTTTTTTAGATCCTAATTCTGTTGTGAGAATATGCTTTAACTGTATTGTAGATGTGATAAAAAAAATTGTGTTGATATAAAAAATCAGGATATTTTCAGAACAAATAAAAGAAAGGAGATATAACTGCAAATTATAGGCGACTTGCAATTAAACTAAAAAGTGGCGATCAGCTAAACGTTAAATGGGTCGACCTTTCGTACATTTGTAACAAAAATTGATACACATGTTATGAAATATCATACTATTATTTATGTACGTATTTTTTGTTAGAGTATAATATTTCAATTTAAAAAAAAAAAATGTATGCACGTTTAATTGTTAGTTTTTACACTATTACGAATATAATTATGCATAAGAATCTTAATATGAAAAAAAAAAAAATTGAAAATGTGAAAATGAAGATATTAAATCCCCATAAATTTTCTGTTGTCCTAACCAAGTGAAGACAGACATTGCCCTCTACAGTTTATTTCTGAGTTGTAAGTGCTGAAACACAAGGAATGTGTCTGAGGACTTTCTGTTTTGAATTGATATATATTCATTAATGATTATATTTATTTATTTAGGAAAAATGAAATGAGAGCTAAAAAAATAATAAAAAAGTAGACTGAATTTATGATGATGAAAAGAGAAAAGAGTAGCAAGTAGTTAGTGTGGGTACAGGCTAAGAGCAAGCCATATCAGCTAAGGTGCTGCAGCAAGTACATTTTTTCCTGTGGTAAGTGTAAATTTGTGCAGAGTACTCTCAGTAAAAACGATAAAGCTGTGAGAAAAAAAAAAAAAAAA